GTAAAGCCCAAAACAGAATAACCTAAGCATTCAATAGAATGTCTCCAATGGACTTTTTTCAAGCAGTGTTATCACTCCCCAGTGTTAGAACTCCCCAGGAGGCCTCCTCCTGGACATTTTCATCTGGAGACTTGTTTAGAAGCTCCCTCGAAAATCCCAATTCAAAAAGGGCTAGTTTTATTAGACGTAATTCAGTGTTACTGGTCTAATATCACAGTTACCTAAGGCTGTCATATTACTTACTTGAAGCTATCAAAACCATGACAAAGATTTGTAAAAGACCTAGTGAATCAGATGCCCCTAGGTACCTTTGAGAGTGTCTGATACAGTCATGTAAACGTAGAAGACCAAGCATGTGGAAGGCTTCATCCATGCTCAGGAAAGACCTGAGAAGCAACTCCATCTTTCTGTTTTTCCATTAAGCCTTGCGCAAGCAGAAAGTTAAGGCAAAGGTAGAGTTCCAAACCACCTTGGTGTTGAAGGAATGTAGCAAAATAAACCCCCAGACCACTTAGCCATAGGCAGAAAACTTATGGATTGAAGAACTTTAAGCTACTTTCTGATATATCATTCGTTGACAACTGTGCTGAGTAGTGACTATAATGACCTCGCATGACATGGAATGCTGATTTCAAGTTCTGTTGTTAGGTGCCATCAAGCTGGTTCTTCTTTATATAGCAACCTTTTGCACAAGAGAAAGAACTACTGCCCAGTCCTGAGCCATCCTCACAGTCCTTTTTTTGTTTGAACCCATTGTTGTAGCCACTGTAGCAGCCCGTCTTGTGGAGGGCCGTCCTCCTTTTCATTGCCCCTCCACTTAACCAACCCTTCACCAAGGACACGTCTCTCCTTGACAATATGCAGAAGTCTCGCCCTCTGTCTTCCAAGAGGCATTCTGCCTGTGCTTCTTTCAAGACAGATTTGTTTGTTCTTTGAACAGTCCAGGATAATTTAAATATTCTTCACCAACACTATAATTTTAAATGAATTGATTGTTTGGTTTTCCTTATTCAATATCCAACTTTCACATACATGTGAAGCAGCGTATTCTAATGTCCTTTGATTTCTTGACTGCTGCTTCCATGAGCACTGACTTTGGGTCCACAAAGGATGAAATCATTGACAAGCTCAGTCTTTTCTCCACTTATCATGATGTTGTTTATTGGTCCAGTTGCAAGTTTTGGTTGCTGTGCCCTTGAGTTGTCATCCGTACTGAAGGCTGCAGTTCTTCGTCTTCATCAGCAAGTGCTTCAAGTCCTTCCTGTAAGCAACAAGTGTCATCTGCCTATTGCAGCTTGTCAATAAATTTTTCCCCAATCCTGATGCTGCATTACTTTTCCTATAGGCCCAACTTCTCAAATTATCTTTAAATTTACAGATTGAATAGGTAAGGTGAAATGATATAACCCTGAATCACACCTTCCCTGTTTAAAACCTTGTAGTATTCTCTTGTTCTATTCTAAGGACTGCTTCCTGGTCCGTGTACAATTTCTGCACAAGTACAATGAAGTATTCTGAATTACTTATTCTTCAAAATTCTATCTATGATTTATTTTGATCCACACCATAGGATGCCTTTTTCATAGTCCATAAAACACAATAAGCATATTTCTGATATTCTCTTCTTTGAGCCAAGATCGATCTGACATCAGCAATCATATCTCTCACTTCATGTCCTTTTTAGATGCTCAGTTAAATTTCTGACAGCTCCCTGTACATGTACTGCTGTATTCATTGCTGAATGATCTCTTAATTTCATTGTTTGATAATTTCCATATTCTGTTGAGTCATTTTTCTATGGAATAGATACAAATATGAAACTCTTCCACTTGGCTGGCTGGGTGTCTGTCTCCAAATCCCTTGGTATAGATGAACGAGTTCTTCGAGAGCTCCAGCAGCGTGCTGAAATATTTCAGTGTGTGCCATCAATTTGAAGAGCCTTGTGTTTGGGGAATGCCTGCAGTGTAGCTTGGTTTTCTTCCTTCCTTGCTTATATGTTACCTCTTGAAATGGTTCAATGTCAGCTCCCTTTGGTACAGTGACTGTGTATTCTTTGTATCTTCTTTTGATGATTTCTGCATCATTTAGTAGTTTGCCCATAGAATCTTTCAATATTGACACTGAAGGCTTTTTTTTTCTTTTACTTCTGCTACCTTGATACATGCTGTGTTCTTCCTCTTTGGCTTACTTTCGGTTTGGGCACATTTTATTGTACTAGTTTACTTTGTCTGTTCAGCTATTTCACTTCCTCATTTCTTCCATTTGCTTTAGTGCTCTGTGCTCAAGAGCAAGTTTCATACTCTCTTCTGAAAACCACTTTGATTTTTTTCTTTCTTCTCATTTTAATTGCCTTTTACTTTCTTCATGTATAGTTTTTCATGTCGTTCCCACAGCTCAGCTCTTTTCTGTTCAGCTGTTTCCCTTCACCATTTCTCCCATTTTCTTTAGCTGTTCATGCTCAAGAAAAAGTTTCAAAGTATTTTATGCAAATTACTTTTATTTTTCTTTCTTTCTTCTCTGTTTAGTTATCCTTAGTTTTCTTCATGTATGATGTCTTTGATGTCTCCCACAACCCACAGCTCATCTGGTTTTGTGTTTCAATTCAACAACTGAACTCACGGCCATCGAGTCAATGCCAACTCAAAGTGATGCCCCCCACTCTCACCCCATGGGTTTCCAAGACGGTAACTATTTATGGGTGAAGAAATCCCTGTGTTTGTCCTGTGGGGCAGCTGGCGGTTTCAAACTACAGACCATGATGTTTGGGACCAATGCATAACCACTGCACAATCAGGGCCCCTTGTGCCTTTAGTGTTCAATAATTCAAAACTGTTCTTGAGATGTTCTTGAAATTCAGGTGGGCTACACTCAAGGTGGCTTGTTTGAATTTTCCTCAACTTCAGCCTGAATTACATATGAATAACTGATAGTCTAATTCAGTCAGTTTATGACTTCATTTGGGCTGCTGATATTGATCTTCCCGATTGTTTTTCACACAGATGTACTCATTTTGATTCCTATGTTCCATGGGGGAAAAACCATGTGTGTAATCAGCATTTATGTTGTTGGAAATGAATTTTTCTATGAAGAACTTCTTGAACATGCAAAATTCTATCATTTGATCAACTTTATTTTTATCACCAAGGTCATATTTTCCAACGAATAGTCCTTCCTTTTCAAATTCTAATCACCAATAATTATTAATGCATCTTGACTACATGTTGGATCTATTTCATACTGAAGAAGTTGGCTTCATCAATCAATATCTTCCTCATTGTCTTGAGTGGTTGGTGGGCAAATTTGAATCATAGTTACTTTAAGTGAATTTCCTTGTATACAAATAGATATTTTTCTATCACAGACAGCCTTGTACTTCAGGATAGATTTTGAAGTGTTATTTTGGACCATAAATTTGTCATTCCAGCATAGTAACCCATATAATTGCCTGATTCAAAATGGCCAGTACCAGTGCATTTTAATGCATGACAGCACAGGAACTCGATCTTCGTGTGCTCCATTCCATGTCTGATGACTTCCAATTTAACTAGACTCATACTTCATGCATTTCTTCTCATCTTGGGCTGTGCCTCATCAGCCAATGAATGTCTTGACTGTTTTATTCCATCCACATAATTATGCCTGACATTACTTTGAGAAGGCAGCTCTTCTCAGTCATATTCTGAGGGTCTTCTAACCTGAGGGACTCATTTTCTGGTGTTTTATCTGACAATATTGCACTGCTCGTCATGAAATTTTAAGTAGGTATGAGAATGTTCAACTTCTACTGAAAAGGTTTTCAGTGACTAGTTCCTCTGAGGTGGACAGCTTCTTCCTCCTTTATCATCTGTTCTTAGGCTGCAAGTGGGGCTGAAACCTGTTCACCTTGGATGACCCTGGGGGTATTTGAAATACAGGGGAGAGAGCATGCAGCACCACAGCACCATGCACGCCATCACAGTAAGCAAACAGGCAGACAGTTGTCAGACCTCACAAATCACTAAACTAACAGCAATAAAATAACCAACAAGGAAAAACAAACCACAGATTTTGTAGACTGGGTTCTTATTTCGCAAATTGCTATAGGATAATATCTAGAGCATCAGGGATATAAAACGTATCAAGGATATAAAAAGGATCCAGCTGTGCTGTTAGGTGCTGTCAAGTCAGTTCCAACTATTTTTTTTAATGAAGGTATTGCTTTTTGCTATATCCTCTATTTGTCTATACTCCTGAAGGCAGCGTTTCCACAAGGAAAAGTGAGGCCTTAGATTGTCTGCACGTTGACATCCTGGAGAGACTCAGTCTTTTACATGTTTATTAATCTTGAGGAACAAGCAGACATTTGAAAAGGCAATATCAGGACTTTGGATACCTAGGTAAGACTTCTCATGAAATTCTTGAAGAACCTCCAATGCAAGCCTGGAGAAATTAGCATTGACATTGAAATGGAGCATTGACATGATGCAGATGACTGTAAAAAAGTATGAAAGAAACCCTCAGTGCAAACTTTCTGGCCTTTCTTTCTGTGCAATCTTCAATTTTTAAATATTTATTCCTTATAAACCTTGTGATCATTCTGTGTTCTTCAAAAAAACCCATCAAGATTCTCCCTGACATCCAATCAAATCTGACTCAGATCATGATTATTCCTTTGGAAGTCCAAAGGCTCCCTCACAAAAACCAATGTTTTGTTTGAACTCATTTATTTATTAAGATACTGTGCAGACACTAATACAACTATATTACTTAGAAAACTTGTCTGAAGCCATCAACGGATCACAGAGGTATCATTACGCAGGTTTTGTTTATGGTAAGCTTGTGCATGAATGAACTGGAATCTCAGTAGCCGTATTTTTATACTTATATTTTGGACATATAAAGTAATGTTCTTTATTTCACTTTTAAAGCAGTAATTAATACACAAATTAAAGAGACTAGAATTATTTCAAACTGTTGTAGGTAAGTGTCTAAATAGCCCTATTTTCTCATCGTTTTTTCAGGTCCTCCGGTTAATGTCACATGCAACATATTTATAAACAGCTTTGGCTCCATCGCAGAGACGACCATGGTAGGCATGCATACTTTATAAGCATACTCACATATACAGTTTGTAATCACACACATGGCAACTTCTCAGCTAATATTATGTGATTGAAAGGCAAAATATGTATAATGAGATTTTAAAACATAAAGTTGGTGTTATTATTAAATTATAACCAACTGCATATAAAAATGTTCTTTTAAAGATGGCATGTTAGAAAATAAATGTAACTGAAAGCCAATTTTGTTTTGTCTAAATTCAACAATCTAATATTAAAGTTAAAGTTAAAATTAAATTTTTATTAATAATATATTATTTCTTCTCAATGTTGTTTAATAACCAGTTATAAGTTTAGCAGGATATACTTTCTTGTTTAATTATGCCATATATTTATCAGTTTATTATCTCTCCAAGTGAATATAGTAACAGTTTCAATAATGTAACTAAATTTTGTTTATTGTAGTATATGCTTTCACTTAATATTACTATGTAACAGGGAACATTTTGTTCATCAAGCTATTAAACCTAGACAAATTAAAATTACTATTACAGAGTAAATCTATTTTGTTTTGATATTAATCAGCTTTTCTAAAGATCATATTTATCTCAGCTTTGCTTATAGCTTTTACTTTGTGCTTTAACTAAAAAAATTGCAGGAACAGATATATGACCCAATAAATATCTGTAAAATTTCAAAGCAGCCAAATGATTTGTTCAACTAAATTACCAATATATATACTTATTCTTAAATAATCTAGAATGATAAGCTCAGCGGCATGGGGTTTCTTCTAACTCATAGCAACCCAACAGGGGAGAGTAGAAGTACTCCTTTGGGTCTCTGAGGCGAAATGTAACGGCAGCAGACAGCCTCATCTTCCCCTCGCAGCAGCTGTGGGCCACAAAGGCTTCTCCCTATCATTAGAAAACATTCCTGGTGTTGCAGTAGTTATGCATTGGGCTGCGAACCAAGAGGTCAGCAGTTCAAAACCGCCAGTCACTCTTTAGGAGAAAGTCGTGGCTTCTACTCTCCAAAAACTAAAAGAGATACAGTCTCAGAAACCCACAGGGCAGTTCTCCCTCATCTTATGGGGTCACATGAGTCAGAAATGACTCAGCGGCAGGCAAGGAGTGACTTTATAAAGTATAATTTGCATAAATATTCAAAATTGATTTTAACTGATATATGTAAATTTAAGATGTACCAACATCTTAACTGTCGAATAAAAATTATTTTTATTTTACCCTTCTCAGACACACAATCCGGTGATAGTACATTTTTAAGGAAAAATATTATGCAAGCTATTACTCAAGTACATATATGTCTGTGAATTTAAATGATATATATATACATATATTAAAAAACAAGAAACCTCACCATCATGAGAAGTAGAGGTGCCCCTTGGCGTGGTTGTCTGTGCCTGTAACACTTTATGAGTAAAAAGCCTCATCTTGTTCCAGCAGAGCTGTTGGTGGTTTTAAACTGCTAACCTTGGCTTTAGCAGCCCAAGAGCAAAACTGACTCACTAAGCTACCAGGGCTCCTTAACAGAAATAATCTAGTTACCAAATACATGTTAAAATGCATGTGATTGTGAATATAAACGCAGAGAAATGCATACGATTGGTTTGAATATGTACAGTATAGTATGGTGTTTCTGCGTTTCTATTCCTGGAGTGATTACAATTCTATTTCAGATTTTTAACATTTTCTGGATCCTGGTTCTAATCTGATAGACATGGGTGTTCATATACAGTCAACTCATATTTTAAAATGAAAACCTCGCCGTTGGCTTTCTTCTAAATAGGCTTCCCAAATTGTATTTTTCACTCACGGTTCTCATTGTAATTAGTACCATGGGCCCCTGGGTGGCAGAAACAGCTAACCATCGGGTGTCTCTTTGAAAGGTTGGCCCTGGGATCAGACCGGAGGCTCCTTCAAGGACAGGTCAGGCAATCTGTTACCAAAAGGTAACGCTTATGGACCAATTCTACTTGGAATCAATGAGACAGCAAAACTATCAACAATAGGTACTGTGTGCTCTGTATAATCATGAAAACCTGACAATTTGGCTTTTTCTTATACTTCTCCATCACAATACTTCTTCCACATTGGAAAAACTTAAAATCTTACCCAGCCATCTTTGTGAAGATAGAGGAATTGGAAACAAAGACAAGACTTTGTGAGATTTCCTTCCCATTAAACGCCAAGAGATTGCCAGGTTTCTGGAAGTTCTGCTTTTTATGCCATAATTCATCAGTCTCTTACTGAAATGGGTACATCATTTAAAAGGGCACGATAGAACCCCTTTTTTCTTAGATTATTTTAGACAAAGCTCCTTTATAGGACAGTGCCAGACTGAAAGCTCCGTGAACATTGCAAGCCCACTTGCAGGACATCCATGCCATGTGTCTGTCCTCCTTCCCCAGCAGAGCAAGCTATTCCCTCTTACACGTCCCAAAAGCATGTGTTCCATAAAGAAATTCTTTTTATCATCTGTCACTCTCATTGTGGTCACAAGCCATATCAATGAACGTGGCTGAAACGTATCAAAGATTGGGTATGCTCTGTCCACTTCAGCATCCCCCTTTGAATTTCCCTAGACTTCTCAGCATGATTTTGCTTCCATTAAAATGATCACATTCAAGATTTATAAAATTGTATTGGTTGTCAAATAAAGTGCTTTAAGGATGTACATATAAAAATACCAAGGTTTCTGAAGTGAAGGAAAACCAGAAGGCCTTGCTAGAGTGTTATTTTGATATATGTGCGCTGAATGTATACAAATATTTATTTAAATGTGGTGTTTGCACAACTTCCAAATTCCATTTAAGTTCTATTTCACAGTATGTGCATATTCTTGCTGTTGTTTTTTATATATGTATACATTTTAATAGTACTTGTATAAGTTTAAATTTCTATTGAAATGCTTACCATGTACTAATATTTATCCCATTAGCTCAACTTAGTGCCAAAAACATTTCATATAAAATAGTTTTATTTTGCTTGACATACAGTCACTAAACTAGATGGAATTAAAATATTGTTACCTACATTATAATTCCATTATCTCCTGAATATTCAAGTTATACGTAATGAGATTCTCTAGGTACTTGATCAACTTTTATTATTCAAGTTCTCACCCTTCTTAAGCAGATCATGATTAACAACTCTTTATCTGAGTTCTTCAAATATATAGTTAAAATGTAAGTTAAAATCCTATTTATCATTCATTAGCCTTAGCCTCTATCCACTTTAGCAATGTGCCTTGGTGAGAGAGGCCCATGTGTCCAGTCATTCACACAAGTCGTGACAAAGGAGCTCATGATTGCTCGTGTGAAGAGAAGCTTAAGATGGCCAACAAAATGTATACTAACCCTGTTGAAATGGCAAATTTCATGTCGTGTGCATTTTACCACACTTAATTTTTAAAATTAGGATAATATGACAATTTTCATCATTTTTTCTGGATTGCAACATATTCTGCCATGATATTTCAAAGATAATATTAAATTTTTTTCATGAATTATGTTTCCCTTTAGGCAGAATTAGCAAAACTTTAATGTCTTAGATTTGTTTTTAGCAACTGCATTTCATTGCACATCTATACCTACTGTCTATCGTAACAAACCCCACATCTCAGAGGGAGTGCATTTGTTACAGAATCTATCTTTCCTTTGTTTACAGATTCATTAAACTTGTGAGACCAAAAATAAACAAATAAATAGGTGGATGGATGAGTGATGAATAAAAGAGAATTTGGAGGGGGTGCCTCTGGTTCATGCCCTTGGATAGCAATTCCATACTTTATCTTTCTTGTGTTAAGTTGCCAATGTAGAAATAATTGCACGTGCAAACTTGTGAGGCAGATTTCTGCACACTTAGGATGTATTGTAGAAAAGCTTCCGAGACAGAGTGAGTGCTCTTTGAAGTTAGACCTCTTTTAACAGTCCTCCCACCCTCCCTTCTTGCCTTCTTCTCCTTGCTCACACTTGTGAACGAAGCAGTTGGCATGGGTATGCATCCCAGAGTTTCAGAATGGCTGTACTGGCCGAACCTCTCAAGCTCGGAAAGCTGATGTCTCACATTTGACACACATATCGGAGAGTTCCAGAATGGCTTTGCTAAGCCACAGTCACTTAGTAAAAGCAAAGGAAACCAACGGCTGTTTTGGTATGAGTTTTACAGTTGCATGACTATCTAGATTAGCGGTTCTCAACCGTGGATCGCGACCCCTTTGGGGGTCGAACGACCCTTTCACAAGAGTCACCTAAGACCATCGGAAAACACATCTTTCAGATGGTCTTAGGAACCGAGACACCGCTCCTCTATCCGTCTCCAGGCGGTCCGCTCACATGCAGATAAACCCACATACGAGTACCCGGCGTGAAGATTGTTACCCAGGCTACACACTGCTTCAAGACAACATGTCATTTATTTATCATTAGAAATAAATATTTCACAATATAGAATTACATATTGTTTTTGTGATTAATCACTATGCTTTAATTATGTTCAATTTGTAACAATGAAAATACATCCTGCATAGCAGTTATTTACATGATGATTTATAACAGTAGCAAAATTACAGTTATGAAGTAGCAATGAAAATAATTTTATGGTTGGGGGGTCACCACAACATGAAGAACTGTATTAACGCGTCGCGGCACGAGGAAGGTTGAGAACTACTGATGTAGATGAACTAGGTGAGTAGAGAAATTGAGCACCTCAAAGTCTATTCTGATTACACAGAATTTTCAAATCATAGTTTTTAAGCTGTGCACAAATTTTAGATTTGCATTTTAGTTGCAACTATAGTATAGCCACATGATTGCTGTTTTGTATCATTGTGCCATTAGATTCTCAAGAGAGCTGAACAAAAATAAATGACATAAATATTTGATAGCTTATATATTCTTCACTTTAAACTGTACACACATTCACATTTATTTCTATTTTTCTTTTCAATAAAATATCCTTGCAGATGGACAGAACTATATATGTGTGTGTGACTTAAGTAGCAGTGTGTA